TGCAAATATACAATTTTATAATTGTCAGTCTAGTGCTATACAAATGTTTTATGGATATCTATGATTAATTACAATTTAGTGATAAACCTAGGAATAAAATCTCACAAGATAAATAACACACATATACATAGAAGTTAACAATAAACAAGAAATAATACAAAATTTGATCCAGTCTTAATACCAAAATAAAATAAAATAAAAAAAATAAAAAATGTCAAGTTAAGGTGTACATGTCAACAGTTATCAAGGCAAGTCAAGATTATATTAAAATATCACTTTGGTCTATAACAATAAAATTCATCTAGGGAATAAAAACAATTCTGAATAAGCCATTGTTTCAATGTTTTTTGAAAGAAGTTAAATGGCAATTTTCGAATATCGCTGGGGATTTTATTATATACTCTTATACACATATTAGGACAGCTCTTCTGATAAAAGACAGTTTTACACTTTCGTAAATTTAATCTTGTAACATCTCTATGCGGAAATGTTTTATCTGTATAATTATCAATACATCTTTGAAATAAATGTGGATATTTTTTTACAAATGTTCCAATTTCATACACGTACATGCAACACAATGTCATAAGTTTTAACTGTTTAAAAAGTGGTTTACAAGAATCAAAAGGTCCACATCTACAAATCGCTCGTACACATTTCTTTTGGATGAGAAATGCTCTATTAAAAACCGTTGAATTGCCCCAGATCAATAAACCATACCGTAGCACGGACGCTACATATCCATGATAAGCTGTTATAGCAGCTTCTTTACTTGTTATATTGGTTAGTCTTTTAAGTGCATAAACGAATTTATCTAATTTATCACACATTAAGCTTATATGGCTTTTCCAACTACAGTGCTGGTCTAAAATAAGGCCGAGGAATTTTATTTCAGCAACCTTTTCAATTTCTTGATTATGACTCACGACTTTTATTTTAGGGATATTTGCCCGGTTAGTGCAGAATGTAATATATTTAGTTTTGAGTAGATTGGGACATAAATTATTACTTTCGAGCCAATTTATTGTAGATGTGACAGTATTGTTAACTTTATGTTCATAATCAGATGGCTTTTCTTTACCTGTTATTATAACTGATATATCATCGGCATATAGAGTACAATGTTGATCGATTGCCAATGGAAGGTCATTAATATATAAAATAAAAAGTAAAGGACCAAGAATTGTACCTTGTGGCACACCTTTCGTAGTGGGTTGTAATTTAGAGCTATATGTGACATGTTCATTAAATTCATTAATCCTAGTTATTTGAACGCATTGTGTTCTGTCACTTAAATAAGATTGTATCCATTGGAATGCAAGTCCTCTAATGCCATATTTTTCAATTTTATTTAGTAACAGTTCGTGGTCTACAAAATCGAATGCTTTACTCATATCGAAAAAGACACCAGTAACTTTCATACCATTATCAATGTTTTCTGTTATGTGCTGAGTTAGTATGTAATTAGCTAGTGTTGTTGATTTTTCTTTTTGAAAACCGTTTTGTTCTTCTCGTAAAATCTTATGTTTATTTAGAAAACTATTCAGTCTAGTATGCATTGCTTTTTCAAATACTTTGGCTAATATTGGTATAAGAGCAATAGGTCTATAATTATTAATTTCTTTTTTGTTGCCCGCTTTATGAATTGGCTTAATCACAGAAATTTTAAGTTTGTTTGGAAAGATTCCATATTCAAATGATATATTAATGATATAAGAAAGAACTGGAGATACTAAATCAGCACAAGACTTTAAAATTTTTGTGGAGATTCCGTCATAACCCACTGAATTTGTATTATTTAACCCTTGTATAATTTTTTTAATTTCCTCTGCAGAGCAGGGTTGCAGAAATATACTGTTATTTTTAACATTAACGTACTTTAAGGGAAAACTTTTATTTTTTATCATAGTTTTTTTTTGGTAAATTTGTAAAGAAGCTGTTAAATATATTTGCTATTTCTCCAGGATCTTTAATCAATGTTTCATTTTTGTGAATCGAAGTAATGTCCTTATTTTTCCGTAAATCATTTGATGACTCTTTGATGAGATTCCAAGTAGCTTTACATTTATTTTTAGCTTTATTAATGAACTTATTGTTTGTGTTGCTTTTTGCTTTAATGATACAAGATTTTAAGATTTTACTATATGTCCTGACATGTGTCTTCATACTATCTGTTTTGTTTTTAAAAAATAAAGACATTAATTTTCTTTTTGTGCAACATGATTTTTTAATTCCTTTTGTGATCCATTTTGTGACCGAATTGAATCTTTTTATATTAATTCTTAAAGTGGGAAAACAAAGATCATAGAACATTATCAAAGTTTCATGAAAATTATTGAAAGCGGAATTAACATCCTTGTCTTCGATTACATCTTTCCATGAGATACTGGAAAGGCACTGTCTGAATTTTGTAATATATTCTTTGTTATAATCCCTAATAAATATAAAGTAATGTGAGTTAAATTTGTGGGTTAAAGCTGCCGGTGTGAATTCTAACGTTTGTGCTGTGTCATGGTCTGATAAATGAAGTACATGTGTTTTACCTATTGCATCAGGGATATTGCTTGCAATATGGTCTAAGCATGATGTTTTGCGAGTTGGGCCCAATATATGTGATTTTAAATTATAATTTGCTAAAATTCCTTTTAATTCTATCGACAATTTATTATTTACAAGAGTATTAATATTAAAATCACCTGCTATTACAATTTTTTTATTTTTTATATGTGATAGTTTATTTAATAGCACTTGTAATTTGTTAAAGAAAAGAAATGCATTCGAATTTGGTGTTCTGTAAAGACATATTATAATACAATTCCAATATGGTATTTCTACTCCACAACACTCAAAAGATTTTTCTACTGATATTTCATTACAATAGTTTATAACATTAAACTCATATTGTTTCCTTACTAAAATACAAACACCGCCACGGCATTCACTTAATCTACCATAGGAACTAGCAATTCGAAAATTTTTCAAATTTATGTTATTTTCATGTCCTGATTTAATAAAACTTTCAGTAAAACAAAGAACGTTCAAATATATGTGTGTTTCAGTAAGTTCATTAATACATATTTCTACCATTAATAATTTGTTGAGAAGTCCAGCTATATTTTGATGAAAAATTACAACTTTATCATTTAATTCATTTAAATTAACGAAAGGAATTATTTTTTTGTTTTGAATCTGTGTCATGCAAAGATATGTTTGTTGATATTTCTTTTTTATTGATTTTTTTTAAAATAATACGGTATTGTTCCCTTTTGTATGACTTGATGTGTTTCAGATTGATCACTTATGTTTATTATTTGTTTTTTTGTGGATAATGCGTTTTGCATTTTCATAAAATAATAGGGTATAGTACCTGGTTTGTGAACAGTTGACAAGATGGTTTTCGATGCTTTGAACTTTAAAAACTTATTCGAATAATCCTTTGAGTCTATTAACAAATTAATTTTATAACAAAGTTTGTCAAAATATTGTTTCTTACTTAGTAATCTACTTGATAAATATATAAAATTACAATTATTCATGTTATTACACATTATTTTTAGTGTTTGATTTAATTTAACTGTATTAAGATAATTGTTTTTATTTATGCTTAATAATATAATATTTAAATTACGCATATACCTTAAAGCAGACGAAAGTTCAATACTAAGTTTAGTAGGATTTGTGTCATTTTCACCAACACACAGTATAACATAGTTTGATTCGTTCGGCTGAAGTTTATAACAAGACTTTAATATTTCTTCTGCCGTAGCATAAGGCTTAGTAATTGATGAGATATTATATTTATTATATCTTGATTGCTGTCTTGAAATTATTAAATGTGACGAAAGCCCGACGCATTGTTGACTGCCTATTATAAATATTTTCTTTTCAAAATTGTTCTTGGATTCTTTATTTGTAGGTTTGTTGAGATTATTAGTTTGAGTACTAGCAGTGTCATCTTGCGGTAATAGTTGGGACTTTATGCATTTATTGTTAGTGGATTGGAAATATTGTTCTTGAATTTGGCGATAGGTTTGAGTTTGTTTACTTTGAGTCAAACTATCATTTCTTATCTGTAATTCCTGGAAACTTTTATTAAGTTCCTCTAGTGAATTATCCTTACGTAATTGTCTTTTAACTATTTTTTTCGTAGAATTATATTTTTTAGTGCTAGTAGTGGATTCGGTAGCAAGTTTTTTTAGGTTTTCTATAGTTTTTTGCTGATCCTTTAATTTTTTAGATAAGTTATATATTTCATAGTTTAAGTTATCAATTTCACCATTAGCACTATCCAATTTCTTCTGTAAATTTTTTATTTCTTCCCTTAATTCGTCTGTATCACTGTCATAACCAATCGATAGATCGGGTAGGCTGTGTCTTCTACAATCCGATCTATGTGATATAAAGGAGCAATCAAAAGAATCATTTGTCTTCCGTTTACGAATTGTGATATTGTCAATTTCCATTTTTTCTAAATACTTGTTTCTTTTATTTTAGAGTGTGGGTTGTATTGTTCTAAATATAAGCCACTTCACATTTAAATATTTTAACGAAGTACCCCATTTTCACAACACATATTCCTTTTTTGTCTTGTTTTTATTAACTTTTATTGATTTTTTGCATTACGTACAGTTTAAACTACTTTGGTATTTAAATTTTGCACTGATTTCGTAATAATACACTAATTGTTGTCACTATAAATTGTGGTCACTATAAATTTTAAAACTTTTCAACAATTTGTCTCTTGTTACTTTAAGATAACTTAGGATGTTGATGTGTGTATAGAATCCTAGTTGTGCCAGCGTTTTTGATAATTCCCTTCCTCAAAATAATAAAAAAATCTGTAGTCACCAGCCCGGCGGCACCGGGACACAATCTATGAGAGTGGCCTGTGTTCAGCGGCGGAATGTTATAGGTTGTTTTGGATGGATGAATGGAAATAGCCAAAGAACTCAAAAAAAAAAAACAGTATTCTTTGTTCGGAGTGAAAAATGAATTGTAGTCTATCCGAGTAGCCCACAGGTACATTTATTCAAACAACTTCTGGTATCGGTTTCGGGTTGCGCAGCGATCACCCGCTTTTTCTTTTTACCGCTTTCGTCGTAAATTTTCTCTTCCTGAAATAAATGTTAAAAAATATAAAATATATTACAATAATAATATACATTAGTACAACAATGTGACAGTAACAGTAGGAGTCCATAATAACGACGCTAGGATTGTACGACCATGTAGGGTCATGTAATCCTAACGTTGAATATAGGGAATATGTGAAATATATTCAAAAATATTTAAAAAAGTGTGCTCCATGCCCCAGTCTTTGTATTTGATAAACAAAGTAAAGACAGCTTCTAATAAAATTAAAATGACATGGAGTATTATTAATAGTGAAACTGGTACAGTCAACTCTCGAAATTCCAACTACCAGTTAAGTTATAACAACAAATTAACTAAATCAGATCAGGACGTTGCAATATTTTACTGATATTCCGATTTGACTACTAAGTTATTGAATTCTCCTGCAGTTGCCAAATTATACTTAAACAAAATGTAAATGTGTACAAAGAATTTTCCATTTCATAAAGTATCATCAAAAGATATTGTGAAATGTTTTAGAACTATTGATATTAAGAAAACCGCAAATCTGTGGGGTATCCGTTAAAGTTATCGCGTCTTAAATAGATATAATCGCACCTCAACTATTTATTATTTTTAATACTAGTATCGAACCTGGTGTGTTTTCTGATTTAAAGCAGGATAGTAATGTAATACCTTTATTTGAATCTGGTAGTACATTGGACCCCGCCAATTTTAGACCTATTTCTGTACTGGCAACACTTAGTAAATTTTTGAAAAAATTATTTTTGATCAAATTAATGTTAATTTTTTTGAATGTAAATGAAATATCATTCATTTCTCGGTTCGCTCGTCAACTGATGCTGATGTTGAGCTGATTAAATATATCTTTAATGCTTGGGAGAATTCACAGAATGCTATGGGTATATTCTGTGACCTATGCAGGGCCTTCGATTGTGTTCACCATGAAACATTAGTTAGGAAACTTCAACACTACGGTGTAAGAAGTGATGCTCTTATGTTAATTATTTAATAAGTAACCAACTGAACGCAAACAGTTGTCATTGATAGTGTGAGTTATTCCGGGTCGGTTGTATAAAGGGGCGTGCCTCAGGGCTCAATTCTCGCCCCTTTTTGTTTCTTGTATATATTAAAGACTTACCTTACAAAGTGGGGAATAAGCATGATATAGTATTGTTTATTCGTGACACTTCGTTAATATTCAAATTAAAACGACTGTTACAAAATTATGACGAAGTAAATAATGCTATATCTAAGTTAGTATTTGTTTAATGTTAATAGTTTGCATTTAAATAGCATTAAACCTAAATGTATGCAATTCATAACTTTGAAAATCAAACATGTTAATATTAATGTAATTTGAAATGGGAAAGAGCTGAGTCTTGCCGATTTCACAATTTTTCTTGGAATCACACTAGATGCAAAGCTTCAAATTCAATATATCAAAATTAGCAAGCAAATTTAGTTCTGAAGCATATGCCTTAAAAAGATTAGAAGTTTTACCAGTGTTGAAACAGCTAGAATAGTTTACTTAAGCTATAGCCATAGCATAATGTCTTATTATATGTTTTACAGAAGAGGGCCATTAGAGCAATCTATGATTTAAAACCTAAAGTCGCTCAGAAAAAATTTCAAAGAAATTAATATATTATACGCACACAAAAATAAAAGTAGTTTAACAAAAATAAGTGATTTTTCATATGTATATACTAAGAGCAGACACAAGTTAGTAGTACCAGTTACTTGACTCCACCGAGTCAGTAATTCATTTTTGGGGCTATGTATACGCTTTTACAAAAAAATCCCAGAAAATATATAAAAAGACCTGCTTAAAGTTCAAAAACTTTATCAAACTAAGTGTGTATAAAAAAGGTTATTATAATATGAAGGAATTATTGCATGATAATAACTGGTTGCTGGTTGTTCCCAGGACAGAGGCTTTTATCCGATTCAGTGGTATTTTAAAAAAAAGTGACTTTCAATAAGTATCATTTAAAAACACATTTTTAAAACACATTTTTAAACAATCTTATAACTAAACAAAATGTAACAAATATCTATATAGTAAAGTAAAAAATGAAAAACATCACTTAACTAAGTTTACTTGTAAGTAACTTAACTAAGTTGCACTTGTAACAACTAAACACATCAAATGGTAAGGTCAAAAATATAAATTTAAATACTGGTTTCGCTCATGAATCATGACTTAACTGACTGGATGTAACAAAAACAAAAACTTATTTCGCTTAACACTAGATGAACCTTAATCTATTATCGCTAAACTAAAAGCATAATTCAAAATGTCGTGATTCCCACAGTGACACTAAACTAAGTAACGGAAAAAACCTTTATGAGATAGGGCACAGCATTTTTTGATTCTACAACAAGCCGAAGCTCTACTTCGGATATTGGAATATAGCAAAGTTCAACTTCGGATAATGGAACGTTCCGAAGTTCAACCTTCGGATGAGGGTACGTTCCGAAGTTCAAACTTCGGATATTGATGAACGAGTTTACACGTTTATCTGATCCACTAAGTGATTGTATTCTTCTTAAGTGAATTATTGATTATCTAGTCAGTGTGCATGTAATTAATATGTAACGTTAGTCTCTACAAAATTATCGTTTCAAGCTATTGTAATCCAATAGTAAGTAAAGTAAAGTTACAGCCTATATACGTCCCACTGCTGGGCTCAGGCCTCCCCTCATTTCTGAGAGGGTTTAGGGCAAGGAAGTGTCCGCCGCGCTGCCCAAATGCGTGTTGACGAACTTCACATGTCTTCGAAATATTTTTTTTTCTTATTCCATTCCTCAGACATGCAGGTTTCCTCACGATGTTTTCCTTCACCGCCGAGCACGTGGTAAATCAGCACTTAAAATTGCAATTAACAATTTCATTGGTGCTGGCGGGGATCGAACCCGGGTTACTCGCGTTCTGTTATATTTACAGCGAGCGTTAAACACTGAACTACCACGGCTCTTTGTGTTTGTGTTTGATTGTAATCCAATGTATAAAGAAAAAAAAACTTAAGACTACGGCGGGCAGTCTGCAGACTGCTCTCTGGGAGCGACGGCAGGATTGCGCTCGGGCGATGCAGCTTACACCCAGCGCTCTGCTGCCGGGCTCCAAAAATGAAAACTTAAAACTACGGCGCGGTGTCTGCGGACTGCTCTCTCGGAGCGGCGGCAGGGTTGCGCCGGGCGGTGCAGATGACGTCACCCAGCGCTCTGCTGCCGGGCACAATGTTGGTGCCCGGCGAGAGCGTCAAAGGCTCAGGCACTGAGTCAGTTGTGCGTCATCGACAAAGTGCCGTTAAATAATCTATATTGAATTAAAAAATATGTTTCTGTTTCTGTCCTCTGGACCGAACTTCGGTCTCGGTGGCCAGTGTCAACGGAGACATGTGCGCAGGACAGGGTTGTAGTGTCCAAGTGTATGCGCAAGCACAGACGCACTCTCTATTCGCTCATTATCATAGTCTGATTGGACGGTAATCAGATACGACCGGAGAGAGATCAGGCGCAGGGCTTACGTCTTTACGTCCTTCCGAGGCTCGAGGGTGAAACAGCGCCAACTTGCTGACTCCGGGCAACTATTAAGAATTTCTTAACAGAAAAAATCAATAATTAATTTCTTGGCCCGACTCGGGGTTCGAACCCAGGACCTCATGATCAGCAGTCGCACCACTACAACCACTAGACCAACGGTGCAGCCACTACAACTATACTACTAATATAACTGCAGCATGGCTCTACCACGTAAAAATCTTTCTAAAAATCTTTTCAAAACATGAAAAGATTTAAAGCGATGTGATGATGTAAATGGACACTCCATTTACATCATCACATCGCTGCATCCGATGGAAACACTGACAAAAGCACTTTGCCCACTCGTCTTTAGGGATCTCTTCGACGGTATTTTGAAGCGCAGCCACTGCTTCCTCGACGTCCATAAGACGTTTTCCTTGAAGTTATTCCATAATGATTTCTTAAATTAAACCGCGATAAAATCCGTATATTATATAACCGTATATTATATAATGTATAATAGTTTTATTCAACGAATTTTTTCTTTCATTTTCGGAAATAAATAAAAATCGCATGGTGGGAGATCGGGGCTGTAGTGCGGGTGACCTAGTACTTTCACGTCCGACGTCGACAAGTAGTCGGTTGTTTGCTTGTCGGTGTGCGACGAAACGTTGTCGTGGTGAAGGAGGATTTTTCTGAGAGGTTGTTTCTCCCGAACTTTTTCCAAAACAAGTGGCAAACAATTGTTAGTGTAGTAGTACCACTCTGCAGTAACTGTTTTTCGATCCTCTAAAACAGTTGTTGCGTAATGACCTGTACTTCCGAAGAACGAGGTCACCATCTTTCTTCCCACGCTTTGACCTCTCTTCACTTTAGTTGGCAACTCCTCGGAAGGAAACACCCAGACAGCAGACTGTCTCTTAGTTTCAGGATAATAACAGTAAATCCAGCTTTTAGTCACCCTTAAGAATGTCAAACACAGCATTTGAGTCACTTACTTTAAATCTTTGAACCATTTCACGACACCAATCAACACGACGAAGATTTTGGGCTTCTGTCAAATTATGAGGTATCCACCGGGCACAAAGCTTGCTGACCGCTAAATGTTCATGGAGGATTTTGCGCACTTGACTCATACCGATGCCTAAGCTTTTCTAATCTGTTGATAAGTCACTATTTTGTCAGTCTTTATCATACGCCGCACAACACTGATGTTATATTCAGTCGTCGCCGTAAAAGGCCGACCCTCCCGCAGATCATAGGTGAGATTAGTGCGACGTTTAGACTCATTAAACCAGTTGTAAATAGTGGGACGAGATGAGGCTTCATCTTGAAAGTTCTATCATAACTTTCTTATTGACTTAAATTACGTCGAAAGTCATAAAAAATCATTGTAAGAGAAATTTTTTGCGTTAAATTCATGCTGACGTGATACAGACAATTTTCAATTTGCCGCCAAATCGTAAACAAATGACAAATTAATGAAATACCT